GCTGATATCAACAAGCGTGGAGCTCCCTATTTTCTGAAATTTGCTAATAGGTTATATGGAGAGAAAACCTATGAGTTCCTCCCTGTGAGTACTTTGCTTTAACTTTCTTTTTCTTTTCTTTTTTTTAAATAAATCTTTATTGCTCAGATTATTACAATTGTTTCTTTCCCCCCCCCCCGCCCCCATAGCTCCCTTCCACCTGGTTCCTGCCCCACTCTCTGCCCTTACGTCCCTCCCTCTCCCCCTTGTCCTTATCCATAGGTGTACAATTTTAATCCAGTCTCTTCCTGCACCCCCTCACCTCTTTACCCCTGATAGTGATCAATCCACTCCCTTTCTTTGCCCCTGATTCTATTATATTCACCAGTTTATTCTGTTCCTCAGATTTTTAATTCACTTGATTTTTAGATTCACTTGTTCATACATATGTATTTGTAGATCATAATTTTTATCTTTCTCCTCCTCCTCCTCTTCTTCTTTCTTCTTCTTCTTCTTCTTCTTCTTCTTCTTCTTCTTCTTCTTCTTCTTCTTCTTCTTCAAGAATACTTTTCAGCTTTTTCTATAATACTAGTTTGGTGGTGATGAACACCTTTAGCTTTTTCTTATCTGTGAAGCTCTTTATCTACCTTTCAATTCTAAATGATAACTTTGCTGGACACAGTTGTAGGTTCTTGCTATTCATCACTTTGAATATTTCTTGCCAATATTCTCCCTTCTGACCTGCATAGTTTCTGCGGAGAAATCAGTCGATAGTCGTATGGGTGCTCTTTTATAGGTAACCAACTGCTTTTCTCTTGCTGCTTATAAGATTCTCTGTTTGTCTTTTGCCCTTGGCATTTTAATTATGATGTGTCTTGGTGTGGTCCTCTTTGGATTCCTCTTGTTTGGGGTTTTGTGAGCTTCTTATAAATCTATTTTTTTCTTATAAGTCTATTTCTTTCACCAGGTGGGGGAAGTTTTCTGACATTATTTCTTCAAATAGGTTTTCAGTATCTTGTACACTCTATTCTTCTGGCATCCCCATAATTCTGATGTTGGTATGCTTGAAGTTGTCCCAGAGGCTCCTTAAACTATCTTCTATTTTCTCTTTTCTTCCTGCTTCTTCAGAGGAGTGTCCTTTTGGATCTTTGTATTTCAAATCTTTGACTTAATTCTTGTGTTCCTCCAGTCTGCTGTTGGATCTCTGCATAGTATTTTTTATTTCAGTCAGTGTATGTATGTTTAATTTCTAGTTGGGTCTCATTAAATTTATCGGCCTTTTCTAGGAAATTCTTGAAAAACCTTATAACCGTGGTTTTGAACTCTATATCCAGTCTTTTGTTCTTCTCCATCTCTTTTGTTTGAGATCTATTTTCTTGACTCAGTATTTTCGCTGCTTCCCAGAGTTTTTAGGATAGCTTTGTGTGTTTGTTGTCTTATATGGCCCAGTAGGTCAGCCTCCCCAGTTACGGGAGGTAGACACTCTTGGTTCTCCCCTTTGTGGACTGCGTGTACAGCTTGTTGTAGTTAAGTCTTGGTTGTTGTTGGTATCACTGGGAGGAATTGACCTCCAGGTCCATTGGATGTGAGTATCAGCTGTGTCTACCCCAGGATAAATTCTGTATTGGAGACAGTCTTATAGGATCAGACTTTCAAAATTGCCAAAGCCTCTATGATCAGTTTGGATGGGGCAGAGTCTCAGGGGTGAGCTGACAGTCTTGGTTTCCCATCAGCCTGCCCTTGTGCACAAGCCTCAGACCTCTGCCTTCCGTGGCTCCCCTGAGTTTCCGCCTGACCATCCAGATTCCCTGTGCAAGAGCGTGGGTGCCAAGGGGCTTGCCCGGAATTGGTTGGGTTTCTGTAGTCTGAAGCTCAGACTCCTTACTCTCTGGAGAGGCTGTGGCAACTTCTGAGGTCAGATCCCTCTGTGTGCACTCACTTGCCATGAATGTAGACCCTGCCCGCTGTGGCTCCTGGCTCTCCCAGTCTCACAGTCTCTGAGTCTCTGGGTGCCTTTCTCTATAGTCCAGACTCCACCCATATGAGCCTGAGTTCACTGGGTTTCGGCTGGGGTTGGGATTCAGTGCAATCTAAAAGGGTTCAGTGCAGTCAGGGACTTGCTTTCCCCTCCCACCAGCCAGGCATTTGGCCACTCTCTCACTCTGTGCCTGAGCATCTTCCTACCTCAGCGATTTGCGGCTCCCAATCTGATCCGTGAGCCTCTTTCCTTCTTTCTAGTTGTAGAATTCCCACTCTGCCAGCTTTTCTGGGGTTTTAGATGATGTCTATTCTGTCTTTTAGTTGTTGTTTTGAAATTGTTGTGCGAGGTGGCAGCTTAGGTGCTTACCTAGGCCACCATTTTGGTTTCTCTGCTTTCACTTTTCTAAAACTCATGAAACATTGCAGACATTTTGCACCACAATCAAGTCACAGATGTCAGTTTTTATTTTTATAAACATTCAGAAAACAATACAGAATTTAAACATATGGCAGTATCCCCATTAGAGATTCAATTTCATTTGATAGTCTTCACAGGAAAATATTGACCCTGGTTGTTTTAATAAAGCAATAGTGAATTCCATAATTCACTTCGAAGAACAATCAGTGTATACTTATTTATGGAAATGTCCATTTTAAAAAATTTAACAAAGATTAGAAAAGAATTGGTAAATTTTATGCAATACCAAAGCTACTGAAATGAACACTTAAAATAATTAAGGTGGTAAATTTAATATGTGTTTTTTTTTACCATAATGCAATAAGTATAAGGGTTAGAATTTTTTTGTAACAATGAAATTTCTGTCTTTTAAGACAATTTCCATTGCTTTTAAGGACTGTAGAAAACCATTTATGTATATAGCAGAAGTTATTCATGGGTTGTTGTTTTTTATTAATTTTTTTTTCTACATTTTATGTTTTGAACAGGAGTTCTTAGCTTCAATCCAGAAACTGTATGGAGCTGAACTGGCCAGCGTAGATTTTCAGCAAGCCTCTGAAGATGCAAGAAAGGTGATAAACGAGTGGGTCAAAGGGCAGACTGAAGGTAAGAGAGTGGGCCGAATGTAGTCATCCATTACACACTGGCTGTTCTTTTCCTCCTCCCACTTTCCCAGCCTGCAGATGATTCCTTGCCCTTTTCCTCTGCCCTCATCCTCTCGCTGGGTCTAACCTCTGCCATTTCTGAGTGCCAGACAGCTTTTAAATGTGGCAATTCCTCAACATGGGAACTTCAACATGCTTTCATTGAAGTAGCTAAATATTTCCCCCATAAATGCACCAAACCACATTTTAAAATTAAAACTAACATTAAATGTAGGATAAAAAGGATAAAGCTTTGAGGAAAATACATCCTGGCCCAGATTATGGGGGGGAAAATCCTATAGAAAAAAGCTAAATATGCTAAATGTCCGATCATCCAGTCCCCTGGTGTAGCAATTGAAGTGTAATATGCAAATGATATGCTAATGTGACTAAATCACTCGCTATGATATGCACTGACCACTAGGGGGAAGACACTAGGTCTGGTAGGTTAGCTTGCTGCTGGATCTGGCAGATTGGGACTGAACAACACTGGCTGGACACCCTCTGCACCCTTTCAAGGTCCCTCTCTTGCTGGCCACCTCACACATCCCACTCTGGCCTTGATCTTGCACTCATGGGGTCCATTGTCCTGGCCTAGGCTCTTTCACAATTCCAGTACTCCTTGTGGGATGTCAGAGAGCTGGTTTTGGCCTGATCCCTGTCAATGCAGAAGCTGCCCCTTGGTGGTCAGTGTGCTCCCACATGTGGAGTGCCACTCAGCCAGAAATGGGTCTCATGGCTGGTGAGCACAGCAGCAGTGGTGGGAGCCTCTCCTGCCTCCATGACAGGGCTAGGCCCACTCCACATGGAAAGTTGGGGGTCCCTAAACTGGCAGGCAGTTTTACCCCAGGGATCCCGAATTGAGAGAGGGTGCAGATGGACTTAGGGGACCCACATATTCTGAGTGCACTAATTTTGTGCACCAAGCCTCTAGTATATAATAATAAAAGAATAATGTGCTAATTAGACTGGACAACCTTAACAATTAAGCTATGGTGGCCAGGGTGGAGGCAGCTCTGCTGGTGATGGCCAAGCCCCTTGCACGAATTTTGTGCATTAGGCCTCTAGTATTCTCATATTTGTGACACAAAGTTCTGTGGCCATAAATATTTTGGCAAATGTCTTGTTAAGCTGTAAGGGATGGCTACATCTCAGTTATTTCTTCACCACAACTCTCTCTAACCTCATCAAGGTCTGAGACAAGGCGCCTACCCAACACCTGTCTCCCAGCCAAAGCATTCTCATGGCCATGCTGCGGTCACAGGGGAACTGGTGTTTCAGAGGACTGACTGTCCTCGACTTCGGATAAATGCTGCTAAATACTTCTGTGGGAGCAGCTTCCACCTGGAGGCCTTGAAGAAATGACTCATTTAAAATTCATTTTCATTAAGAAATACTTTTATGCCTGCCAAAGAATGGCCATTCATCACGAAGGCTTATTGTTTTTCATAGAATGCAGAGATTGTCCTGTTTTTAGCTTTTAAACTCTTTAGTTGTTTTCTTTTTCTTTTTTTTTTAAATATATTTTATTGATTTTGTACAGAGAGGAAGGGAGAGAGATAGAGAGTTAGAAACATAGATGAGAGAGAGTCATCGATCAGCTGCCTCTTGCACACCCCCTACTGGGGATATGACCGCAACCAAGGTACATGCCCTTGACCGGAATCGAACCCGGGACCCTTCAGTCCCCAAGCCGACGCTCTATCCATTGAGCCAAACCTGTCTCGGCCCTTTAGTTGTTTTCTATAGAGTTGAAACACACTGGTAGGGCTTCCCTAACTTAATACATTAATGGGAATTAAATAAAAAGTATGGATTTGAATTGCCTCTCAATGCAATTCAAAAGTAGAATACTGATATGTGAAGATTTTTTTTTTCAAACTTACTTTATTTCTTTAGGGAAAATTCCAGAGTTGTTGGCTGCAGGCATGGTTGATAATATGACTAAACTTGTGCTAGTTAATGCCATCTATTTCAAAGGAAACTGGCAGGAGAAATTCAATGAAATGGACACAACAGATAGACCTTTCAGATTGAATAAGGTGAGATGATGTAACTACGAAATTGCTTTTTGCTCTAAGGAAATGCAGATAATAATGTGAGTGATTTGGTCTTTTTGACTGTTCAGAAAGACACAAAAACTGTGAAAATGATGTATCAGGAGAGTGAATTCCCATTTGGCTACATTGAGGACCTTAAGTGCCGGGTGCTGGAGCTGCCTTACCAGGGCAGAGAGCTCAGCATGGTCATCCTGCTGCCAGATGACATCGAGGACGAGGCCACGGGTCTGAAGAAGGTAACGCCTCCCACGCTCATGCTTCATGTTTGAATCTGACACATGGGTTCTGCCTGTGTGTATGTTGTGTGGTAGTAGCCCATCAATGTTTGCTACTCTGAAGCCTAAGATTAACTTTTCAGCCACTATCAGTGAAGAGTTGTGGTGGGTGACATCTAAGGATCTATGTTAAATTTAACATGTCTGTAGTGGGCCACCTGGGAAGGCACATAGACATGCTTTAAATTGTCAGCTGAGCTCTAGGCAACTGGCAGAGCCTTGTCATGGCTACACCCTTCCCCTTGCCCTTCCCCCCGCCCCCCGGAAGAAGGCGGGGTGGGGGATGTTATTTAGTTCTAACTTCTTACCTTTGTCCAGGTGTAGGCAGGAGAGGGTCTAGATATGTAAATCTAGTAATTCTAGGGCCTACTTAAAAATGCAAATAAGCTCCTTTGATCATATAAAATAAACATGCTGCCTGGTTCAGTGTATTCGCTGCCTCTCCATCAGAGAGAATGGCATCCCATCTAGCTCCCAGCTTGCTTCTATTTCTGCATCTTGCTCTCTTTCTTTCTTTAATTTTTTAATTCCCAGCTCCTCTACTCAGCAACCAGTTTCCTTCCTTTTCCATGCTGGACGCTGAAAAGAGAGAAATACCGCTACACATGTCCGTGCAGCTTACAGGAATTTTTTTAAAATGAATTTTAGAGGAAAGTGCAGTAAATTAGAATTGTTTTGAGACAAATTTATTAACATTACAAATCCAAAACATTCATAGTAGGCAACTTCAAAATGTACTATGAGATCCTATTATTACACTGCAGATTCTCATCACAATTCATATAGATTTTGAATTAAATTTCTAAGAGCTACATGGTAGAGAAGACTCATAAGAAAGCTAAGCTTATTTTTTCATGTGAACTCTGTATGATGTTTCTATCTTATTTCAGTTAAAAACAAAGACATTTCTTGCCAGGCTAGGACTAGGCAAAACTGTGAAGATTATGGGGTTTTTTTTTTAGTGTCTCTAGTCTGCTGTGTCGTTTTCCTCTACCCTCTCTCTAACCAAACTGTTATCAGGAAGAGGTCCAAAGTTAATTATTTGTACGTATAAAGTCTGTATTAAAATCAGTATGTTCCTTTTTTAATTGTATTTTCATATTTGTCTCTTCTCTGATTATAACAAAAAATTCTTCAGCCTCATAAAACACATAATCAGCATCAGTAGATCAAGTGGAATGATGGGTCCATTCTAGTCCAATAGTAGTAGTAATATGCTAATGATAATGATTGACATTTTTGTGGCACTTACTGTGCCACATTAAATCATTTAATGTTCACAGAAATGCTATAAAATAGGTAATATTATTAACCCTCTCCAAATTTTATTTATTTATTTGTTTATTTATTTTTAAATATATTTTTAATGATTTTAGAGAGGAAGGGAGAGGAATAGAGACAGATACATCCATGGTGAGAGAGAATAATTATTGGCTGCCTTCCGCATACCACCCACTGGGGAATGAGCCCGCAGCCCAGACATGTGCCCTTGGCAAAAATTGAACCTCAGACCTTTCAGTCCACAGTCAGACACTCTATCTGCTGAGCCAAACCTGCTAGGGCTCTTCTCCCAATTTTATTTTATTTTATTTTATTTTATTTATTTATTTATTTATTTATTTATTTATTTATTCATTCATTTTTTAACATATTTTATTGATTTTTTACAGAGAGGAAGGGAGAGAGACAGAGAGGTAGAAACGTCAATGACAGAGAAACATCGACCAGTTGCCTCTTGCACACCCCCTACTGGGGATGTGCCCACAACCCTGGTACATGCCCTTGACCAGAGTCGAACCTTGGACCTTTCAGTCCGCAGACCGACACTCTATCCACTGAGCCAAACCGGTTTCGGCATCTCCTCCTAATTTTAGATGAGGAGCTAGTCCGTTTTCTTTTTTTTACCCACAAGCTAAATCTATTAGAGATTACTTCAGCACAGTGAGTTCACAGATAACCACAGTGATCAACAGGTTTCAGAATAGAAGAAATAGAAGAAAACTTTAGAATTTTACCTTGCACCAATCAACCAGTTAAAGAAATAACAGCCATCATGGCCTATCACAGTAATCCAGTGTGGTAGCAGTTTAGGAAAGCCTAGATGGATGGATGGGTAGGTGGGTGGATGGATGAGTAATTGAAGCTTCTGATTTCCAAAGTCCCTGTTACTTGAGCCCTTGATAACTTGGAACACAGCTTTGTTCTATTATCACCAATTGCTGAAAAGAAATGAAATCCTCCAAATGGAATCTCTTTTGGCACAAAACATGAAAGAATCTAATTAGCAACTGAAAACGAGTCCATTCATTTAAATACTGTTTATTACCTTGCTTATATGAAGTAGTTCTCACTTCTTTTGCCGACTCTCACTTCAGATCGAAGAACAGTTGACCTTGGAAAAACTACATGAGTGGACCAAATCTGAGAATCTGAGTTCCATCGAAGTCAACGTCCACCTGCCCAGGTTCAAGCTGGAAGAGAACTACGACCTCAACTCTCACCTGGCCAGCCTGGGTATAGAGGATCTCTTTACAAGCAAGGCTGATCTGTCTGGCATGTCAAGAGCCGGGGATCTTTTTGTATCAAAAATTGTCCACAAGTCTTTTGTGGAAGTAAATGAGCAGGGCACAGAGGCAGCAGCTGCTACAGACATAGATTGCGATACTTGCTGCTTTATGCCAGAGGAAAATTTTGTGGCCGACCATCCATTTATTTTTTTCATTCGACACAATCCCTCAACTAACATCCTGTTCTTAGGCAGACTTTCTTCCCCATAGAGACTGTGGAAATCCAAGGCAAAGCTCAGAGCTTTGTCACTGGCCCTTTCAATGATGATAGTTTTCATATATCTTCTGCAACAAATCTACCATCCCAATACTAATCTCTAACTCCTTTTGTAATGTCAGCTCAGTTGCTGCTTACAGGTATTAACATTGGCATAGATATCTATTTTCCTTTTATAAAATGAAAAATTCAGTGATTACTTTTAATGCATCAAGCAGATATGTAGATGCTTGACAGTGTAGTAAACTAAGAGACTGCTGTACTCTCTTGATAGCCATGAGAAAAATTATGATACTATAATTTATTTCACAGATAGACTTCTGGAAGCTATGGTAGAGAGACAGTCATTGCTGAAGGGAGGCTTAAAAACACATATGCAATTGAAATATAGGAGAGCAGCCCAATTAAGTGTTGGATTATGAAGATTAATTTTCCTTGGCCAGTGTTTCTGACCCTTTGTTCTACAGGATTAGTATTCTATTATAGGCCCTCTGATTTCAAACTAGTAAAGAGCTTATTTTCCTTTATCACCTGGTTGGTAGTTTGTGTGGGATCACAAGGAGTGAAGAAGTAAGTGTCTTATCTTAAAAGATGCCATGAAACCACAAAAAGGGAAGTGGAGTCAAGCAAGAGGGGGTAAAAGAACACACTGTTACCAGCTTCTTGTGCGTGTTCTGATAAGGGCTCCTGATTTCCATCATCTAGTCCAGACTGTGATGGCAATGGATGGCTTTATGCAATGCTGGATGGGGAGGGGCTCTGTGATCATTATAAACTTAGTCAAATGCACCCCTTGGAATGGGGCTTCAAATGCTGCATTTTCTTGCTCCCATAAGGCGAGTGGGCTGGCTAATAAAGTTTCCTAAGATTCTGCTAGCCAGACTTCTCAGTCCTCTTCTTTTATCTGAACTCAGAAAAGACAGGACAAATGGTGCTCTTGGACTGACAATACTGACATCCATGATGATAGTCAGTGGCTCCATGAAAGAAAAAGAATATTTTATCAAATTTGTTGACACGCTTTCCTTCCTTTTGTTCTTAAAATACTTAAAAAATGTTCTGTCTCCTACAATATTCAAGGTTCGCTTAGGTATAGGGCAAATAAAAAAAGCAAGTCCATGCATTCTATAATCCTTCTCTTTGGGCTCTTATACTAAAATCTACTCATTGATTGACAGTAAATTGTGCTATTCAAGTAGAAACTGAACTGCCTGGTCCCATGCAACTCTGCTCAAATCCTTCTTTTATATATGAGGGAACAGGCTCGTGGACTATAAATAAATTATTGAATGTTAAAACAACTAGTAAATTTCAGAGCAGAAACTAGAATTCAATAAATAATTTATGGGGAGAACATCTAATTCTTTACTGCAATGGTGAACTAGGTAACAGAACTTTTAACACTACAAAAAACCGAACCAAGCAAGCATGAGCCCAACGGCAAAGGATCTGCCATGATTATGAAGAAGTACTTAGCAATCCGGGATAATTTGGTGACTATGGAAACTGGGGCACTTTTACTCCAGGGGCATTTCCCAATCCAATAGGGATAAAAGGGCATGAAACAGGGACTTTGATGATATTTAAGGCCAAGCAGGCAGAATTTTGGCCTGTTAAGTATCACCCTGTGCTTTCATTTGACAACATAATAACTACACTCTAGGAGTATGACTAAAGCAGCTTAGAATGTATCCTTGATATAAGTACTTGGACAGTCCCCCAAATTCCAATCTCTTAAATTGGAGTACATCTATTCTGATTTGCTATTATCTGGAGGCATGTGATAGAAGAAAAAAAAATATTCTATAGGGAAAGATTACCCATAAACCTCAAAATTCTACATAATAAAAGTCTACTATGCAAATTGTCCTCTTTGGTGGTGGTTTGACCAAGAGATCAAGAGTTTGACTGCTCACTATGCTG